TGAGCACATGTGTCCTGAGCACACAGCCCCTCTCTCTGGTGAGTGACAAAGAACTCCTAGCAAAGAGCAGCATGCCGTGGGAACAATGACAACAGCGAGGGCTGTCTCCAGAGAGAGCAGAACCCCAGCTCCTCTGCTGCCTCGGCAGGCCCAGCTCCTTCTCCGCCCCCACCCAGATGGCCCTGCCTCCTCATCTCCACTGCAGCGCCATTCCTGGGGCGGCTTCCTTTCTCACCAGAACGTCCCCAGCCTGCCTCTTTCTGACGGGCACTGACCTAGGCTGCACTAAACGATAACCACGCAGAGATAGTAATGACTTTTTAATGACTCTGGCTCCAATTAGGGAACCACTGCCAGGCCCAGGCTGCCAGCTGCAGCCCTGCCAGGAGACAGGGCACTGATGGATGGGTCTTCCAGCTGACCCTGGTGGCTCCTTTGTTACCATAGCCTGCTGGACCAAGGAGGCCCAGGAAAGTAGCAGCCCCAGTCACTGGCTCATGAGGGTCAGAGAAACCCAGTGTACGAGGTTCACCAATCCATGCCCCTGCACCTCCCAGGCAGCCTATCCCTCTATACCCACTCACCTCTCTAGGCATCTGGCAAGTGCCTGGGGAGTGAACCATGGCTGACAGCAGGGGCCAGGGCCCAGGGCACATTTGTGGGCCAGGAAAGCCAGACACAGCACATCTGGGACGACTCCACCTTATATGCTCCAGCCAGCCCACCAGTGCTAACCAGAGGCCCAGGGACAGGGACAACCATGGGGGAAGGCTCAGCCACATACCCTTCCTGCTCTCGGTCCCAGTGGGACCTGCCCCTGCTGGACCCGAGATATCAGAGAAGTGGGCCATGGGGAGAAAAGGCCACCTGGGCATCTGGCTGCAAGTCTGCACCCGGTGCCAGAGCCCTGGCAAGCCCAGATCTGTCACTTTCCTTGCCTGGCAGCTGCTTGGAACGCAGAGGGAACAGGGGCAGCTCCAGGAAGGCCAGGACCACGCTGCTCACAGGAGTTCCAGCCTCTCAGGACTCCCACTGGTCCCCAAACTGACGAAGTACATTAGAACTGCTGGGAGCACTTGGTAATTCAGAACTGTAGGGAATATGCCCCAGAATCAACACCCACCTGGCACGCTCGCTTAAAGCAAGAGACAGGTGATTCTAATGCTCAGGCACGCCGTGGGGAAGATGAGCCATAGCTGGTGCTCTCTAGAGACCAAAAAGGCAACCGGGGGATTAGCTGTTAAGACTGAAGTGGTGGGCCCGAGCATTCAGGCGTCTCCGAGGTTAAGCCTAGAGACAGAACTAAGTGACAGAAGCCTTGCTTAATCAGTAGTCATGCTGCGTCCCAGAAAGCAAAAGGAGGCAGCGTGGGAGGATCCCAACGAGGGCCAGGGGGAACCCAGAGATGTGCTTAGGCTCCACCCACGGAGACCTCCCCAACAGCCACAGCCCTGCCAAGGAAGGCTGTTTGGCAGGGACGCTGCAGGGAACACTCAAGTAAGGAACTAGAGGGCCTGAAAGGGCCCTTCCAGCCTGAAGTTCTCTTTCTATGACCTAAAGCCATGTTGTGATAGGAGAGGACTGTGTCCCTCGGGTTTGCTGAGAACCCAGGAGTGGGGCCAGGAAAGCCGACGAAGTCCTAAACACTTCCTGGGGATGCTGCTTCGATTCAAAGACGTGGGCATCTTGTCTATGCTGCGGAGACAGCCAGAAACTGGACGAGGTCCCTGCTCTCAAGGAGATGATGACCTGGTAAGGGAACTGCCAGGCCATGACCTTACACCACACAGACAAAAGTGCCGGGGGCAGGGCAGGCACCGTCCATGCGGCACAGTCCTCCAGCACGCCTGTGGGCCGCAGTACTGCCTAACTCAGAGCTCCACACACGGCTTATTAAAAGGTCGCGAAGTCACACCCACAGGACAGTTAATACGACTCAAGAATACAGGTAAAGAGAAACTGGCACACGTGGAAATTGTCAGCAGTAACAAAAAAACCAACCAAGACAAAATGAGCCCAACTGTTAAAAACTTTATACACTAAATACCTCCCTTCTGTCAGAATGTGAGATTAACCCATGATCAGTATAAACTAAGCCAAAATTACCCGTAAGATTATCACCAACTATCACTGCTTCAAAGAAAATGAGCTAGGCCCAGGAAATGCCAGGTGCACCTGTCACAGAGGAGTGAAACCCCCACCGGCAGAGCTAACAGGAAGTCAGTCGTCCCCTCTCCCCAAACCCAGCCACGATCCAGCTGACATGCCGTGACATTAGGAAAACCTCACACCAGTCAAAGCACGTGCACACATGCTGTCCCCATCCCCCATCTGCAGGTAAAATGCCTTTCCTGTCTTCTGCCCCAGTTTCTGTGAGCAGCCAGCCCTGCAGCTTTGACTGCAATCAGCAGCCCACTTAACACAAGAGGCGATCTGAATCTCCTCTCAGGCTAGGTCTCCCAATTTTGGAAGTCTACACCCCAAGTCCAATGGTTTCTCAGGCTTACTGCATAGCTAGAAAGACCATCAGGGCAGGGGACATCTAGCAACTTCTGACTACAGCCTGTCCCCAGTTAAACACCCACTCTCCCTGCAACAAAACAAGAAGGCAGGGTGACAGAGGAACGGAGAAAGCAAGCAAGACCACGCGGTGCCAAGCTGCTCCTAGGGCTAGGATTGCAGGGTGGCAGGATTCTGTGCTCTGTGCTGAGTGTGGGCTGAAGAGACTGGGAGGTATGGTTGGGTCTGGGCCCTAGCAAGTGCCAGATCACTCCATGCAGCACACCAGTGTCCTGGTACTAGGTGGAGGGCAATTACTTCCCAGAGACAATCCTCCCTCCTGGGGTCTCCTCTTCCAGGAACAAGCTGAAGCCTTCCCAGTTTGAGGCAGGTTTGCTCTAAGAACGGTGTATTCTCTTCACAAGTTGCTTTGGTCCCCAGGTCCCTGGAAGAGGCTTCCTAGAGCCATGACCAGGCCCAGCTCTGCCTCCAGGATGCTGGATCCTAAACATGCCACCCACACTCTGCTACTAGTCTGTGGTGCCACCCTACCATCTGGACCCCACACAAGTACTTCTCAGCACTGAAGTCTGCCTGGCCCACAGGCACCTCTGCTGAACAGCTGGAAAAGGGGCACTGGACAGTGCCTATGGGACTTCACTGTCTTCTAGGAGTTCCTCAACCACTTGTGCTAAAAAGGCCAGAATGCTCTAGACTCTACCCGTGCTGGTCCCAGCCTGGGTGTGTGTCCAGGGCAGCAGCTCTTCCGCTCTTCCGAGAACCAGATGACACTGAGGTGTGACTGCACATTTCTGCAGAAGACCCTGTGGGTGCCTCGTGTGTGCCCACTTGTGTATTGGTGAGTGTGTATGTGTGTGTGTGGGGGGGAGGGGGTGGACACGAAATAACCTCAAAGCCTAAAACCTCCACAGGAGCTACGATTAGAGGCAACATCGATTTTCACGAGAAACCTTCAATTCCCAGGCCAGCGACAAGGGCCTGTTTGCAGAAAGATTTGCTTTTAACAAGCCTCGGGTGGTTTCAGCTGGTTTCCATTTGGGATGCTGTCTGGACAAAGTCACAGACGAGACTGTCAGAATGATTCTGTGTCAGTGACTGGTAATCAGACTCCTTTCTCAGAACAGGCTGTGCTACAAGGCAGGTCCTGAGGGGCTGATCCTGCCACGGCAGGCGTGTGCACTTGGGTGGGCAATGACACAGTGGGCCTTAGCAGTCCAGCACCCTGTTATACACACGCCTCTCACGGAGGCCTAGAGACAGCCCTGTAGCCCATGGCAACCAAGGAGCCAATGGGTAACCAAGGATCTGGTGCTGCCATGGCGATGGGCTCCTTTCCCTGAGAATGCAGAACAGTAGAGTGGATGGGGACAGGTCTGCACCTGGGTAAGGCCCTGGAGACCACCTCTACCACCTTCCCACCAGTGAGAACACCAGCCAGCCTTGACAGACCTGGGTGTTTGGAAACAGAGAGAGTGCCTGGGTTCTTGAGTGCATGCGTGTATGTGAAGGCAGTTCTGTGTGTGGTCAGCTGGTGTGTGTCCAGGTGTATACCTGTAAGCACATGTATCGAGTCTCTGAAAGATACCCAGTAGCAGGTGTGAGTAGTGGTAGGTGTCCGGTATTCTCCACACACAGGATGTGTAGGCACGCAGGTGTGTAGGCATGTGCCTGTGTGAGCCCAAGAATTCCTATGTGTAGAGACATATGTATGCAAGTGTCTATGAACGGCCCTGTAGTAACTGCACAAATCCACACTTTGAGCGTGTGAACCGGCCACAGGCTCTTTGGCCCCACGCCCGAACATCCTCTAGGTGCGTGCGCGCGGCTGTATGGGTGTGTGCGCGCTCTCGCTACACAGGCATGTGCCGGGCTGCTGGGCCTGGGAGGGGCTCACAGCAGGGTGCGCTCACTGCCCAGGCGGCCACATGGTGCAGTGACCCTAAGTGACTCACACAGGGCCCTCCCAGCAACCCTGCGGATAAGGAGGTAGAATAGGACAGGCAGGACCAGCCCACGGGGGCCCTCAAAGTTTCAATAGGAATGACCAGAGCCCCCAAAACGACATAGACCGGGAGAGGATCGGAGCCCTGCGCCCCACTGGCTGTCCACGGCAGGCCCTCGGTCAGAGTTGGGGGTGCTGGCGTCCCTGGCCCAGCGCCCTCGACCCTGCCCCCACCCTCAGCGTTGGAGGGCGGTGGGCTGGCCCGAGCCCCCCGCGGAAGAGGTGGGTGCCGTTACCCGCATACCTGTAGGGAATCCAGTCGGAATGCGGCCTGGAAGTCATGTCTCTCGGGGGCGGGGCGGCGGCTGCAGCTCGGGAGGCCGGGGCTCGTAGGGGCCGGCGCGGGGGCCCTGCTCAGCTCCC